AGGAACCTATCAGTTCACTAGATCGAACGGACGCAAGAATTCACTTGGGCATCCCCCTATGCTTTTAAGTGGCGAGGAGTTTGCAACAGCAGTAGCTGCCGGAACTGCTGGAGAAAGTGGAGTATGCCTCAATACACCAGAATCGACAACTCTAGCTGACAAGTGGCATCCTAATACCGAGGCTTATGTTTGGACAATCCCACCGTATTAACCTCAAAAGACTTAGCAATTTTGTCAGGCTGTCTATCGGAGGTTGGTTCTACATCTGCGCTAGTCAACAACATGGGAGACTCGGTATTCGGAGCCCGAATTCAACCACTTTAACACAACTGAGCGCGCCCATGGAAAAGCTCGTGTCTTCGCAATATGGCTAATGATTCTGTATTGGCCACAGTTGTTCTCAGCCTTCCAATCCACATTGTGTGTGTGAACACAAAGAAAGAGCCATCATCTGTGAAACTCCAAGGGATTAGCTGACACAAATATAGTTTACCAAGAAGGCAGTCGATTGTGTAGACGATTGCCCGCATACACGCTATAATTCCCCTTATGGGAGTTCAGGATTCTTGGACGTGATATATTCCGTTAACACCGGATCACTGTATGTTTTCCTAGGATTTTTCAATAGTCTGCATAAGAGAGCGGGATGAACGTTTGTCTGCGTATTCCTACCTCTCTTTTGCTCAGCAGATTTTTGTTTCGGTCAAATTCTACGCATATTTAAGTTTGGAGCAATGCGGATATTGGCGAGTTACTTGATTGATTTTCCTTATTTGGCGTCCATGCATTCAGCCCTGGCAATCGTTGCCTCTGTATCCACTTGATGTTTACTGCGTGGCATTTGCCTGGCAAATGTCGGCTGAGGATTTATCCTGAGAGTTAGTCGCGTCCGATGACACATCATCGTGCTCTTCGTTTGAACCACTTCATCGGGTCTGATTTTTGTGGCATTTACTTCGAATGTGGGCCAATACCATTTGATATGCTCTCGGTAGCGTTGATGTAATTAGACGGTGATTGATGGGCCTCAAGTATTGCACCCGTATTTACTTACCATCCGGTAGAATTTCGAGGTCAGACGTTTTTGCTGCACGAGTGGTTATTTAATACTCTGCTCTTATTGTCATGACGATCCAAAGGTACGAGGCGGTCAACGCACAGTTGCCTTTTGCCAAGTCGGACCTGTATAAGGCGGCTATATCCTCAGTCAACCTTAGAATCCGCGACCTCTAAACCCAAACAGAATGAATTATGAATGTGGCGTTAACTGCTATAAGGTTTGTGTTGACGAATACCTTTTTAATAGCATTTGGGCCAATGAACATCCGCTGGAAACGGTTACATTCTGCAGTAGATTAGTAACGTAAACTGTGCTAATTGCGAATGGAGCATCTTGGTAAATGTCCACTGATCACAGCGATTGCCATGGTTGTAGTCAAAGCATTTCCTTGAACAAAACTTGAGGGAATTGCACCGAAATCAGGGGCAGTAACAAAAAAGAATAAACGACCGCAAGGATGGTCCTGTACACCAAAATCATACCCAAGCTCACAGCAAGCATGTCACATTAAGCTGTAGCGGACTAGGACCTTATCAGCGTGTTCGAACAACTGAACAAGCAAAGTAGCCAATACAAAATCACGAAATCACAATAAGAAAAGAATGAGTAGTCGAATGAGGACTCACGAATGCGTAGATCCAATAGTCCACTACACCGATCCAAATGCAGTGAAAGAAATATTCACTAGTAGAAATTTCCCACGGATGATTCACGTGTGAGTGGTGTATTCCATGATAGGAAAGCTGAAAAATGTTACGGGGATTTAATGTGACGTTCAATAGTTCACACAAACACAGAGATCTAGTCTCGCTGGGTCAGCGGTCAGCAAACAGTCCAACGAAGCGTAAATCCACTCATTCAGCAAGAAGCCAGCAACTGGCGCCGAAAAATTGCGTATTGGTAACATTAAAACAAATGTCATGATAAAATATGTATGACGGTTACAAAATATATTTTAAGTTCAGGGAAATGGTAAATATGTGACAACAAATTACAGACGCTATATAGCGGAATTCTGATAGTCCTTGGTAAAAACGAGAGAATCAAGGTGAAATACCAAATTAAGCGCAGAAACCGTAATAGGACCTATGAAACAAAACAGTGAGAAGCGTTATGCATGAATGAAAGAAATGCATGAGGTTACCCAGTCTTGATAGTCACGAATGAAGACCAAGAAGGCCAGAACATCTACTTGGAAAACATACTAAACCTTGGTTTGTGGAAATACAAGCTAGATAAGAAATGTGTTAAGTGTATAGCCCTCCATCGGCCGACGCTCTGATACAGTTCAAAATTAGTACCAATGTTCCTCATCCACTTCTATCCCGAAGCAGTTCAAAGCAGCTTCATTTGCGTGTCCAGGAAATAGAAACTTTTGATTCATTTTGTATCTCGCTCAGGGGTTTCACCAGTTACCGCCCCTAACTCCCCTAGGCAGAGGTCTCACAAAGTGTCTGTTCTAGTATACGGAATTCGCAGTGTGGTCGAGGGAATCCACAGCTGCTCTCTTAGTACACAACGAAATCTAGCACTACAGGGAAGCTGGTTTTTAGAATCCGAACTTCCACCTCCAGTTGGGGACTGTCGCAACTTTGAGGAGCAAAACTGCTCACAGAGTGCATCGAATTTATCACCGTAAGGTTTGGGAGAATGGTAATCCCCTTCCTGGAAATTCCCAGTTGAATTTAATTGTGCCAGGGAAACTGATTGGCACTAAGTGAATATTTGCCATAAACTGGTTCTCTAGATTACCTGCATCGTATTCAAATAGGAAAAGGCGAGGGGACACTTTTTGCAGCACAAATGGGAAACGGCTAAACTGCTAGCAACGTATTTATGCCGGCCCCGCGCAGAATGACAATGACGAATTCTCTTCCACCGTCACTTGAACGAACTAGATCGCAATATCGGGGTAATTGCAGTAGCAATGCTATACTTAAAAGCGTCTCTCGTAGAGTTTGGGGATTTCCAGTTTCGGTGGTCCAGAGATGACTTTGTCAGAACGTGTGATCACTGGTGCCTTCGGACGTTTTCGGATTTCGATCATTTTTGTGGAAGTCCTGAAAAGTACTCGTCTGATAGAGCGAGTATTTGATGATTTTAATCACAGAATAAAAACAAAGTTACTCTGTCCTTCAGGAAATCATGCTCTAAGAATTTGAGGAGCGTTGCTGCGCATCGATGAACATGCAGTTGCGATCTGGAGAGACTTGTAGTCAACAGGGTAAGAGTGTAAATTTCTGTCTTCAAATATTTGCGATAGAGGTAAGATGATCGTAGGATATCAATAGGCAAGATCCACATTGCTACTGTTGTACACTCTAGGACAAATGACAAAGTATTTCAGTTGTTTCGCTAACAAGTTAGAGATCACATGCTTAATTTCCTGACGCAGTGACTACACTCTACGTATTCTGTCTATTCTAAGAGGACTGCCAGTTGTCGGCTTATTTGAAATCATGGCCTCAAAATTAAACCGGTAGGTCCCGTACGTGCTCAACTAGGTTGACTAACATTGTTTGTGTTGTCATCCCTGGCAGCCAAACACTCCAATTTGACAAATAACTGAAAAACAAGGGGCCAATACCGCCCTATTTGACGTTCGTGTGGTTAATGAACAAAGATGAACGGACCCGTATTAGCAAAATGCCAATCGCAAGTTGCAAGTCATCTGAACGTCTTTGCCGCAAGCGTGCAAAAGTTCGGCTATTCATTTGTGTCGGTGCAGTGGCGTCATTTGCACGACACACAGGTGACGCACACACCGAACACTGTGTAACGAACACAATAACTCAACTCATATAAACAGAGACCTTATTTTTAGTTCATACTGTGCACTAACGTCAACCGAACTAGAATGTATGATCGACGGTTAAATGAGGATGCGATAAACGCCCATAATGAGTAAGTCAATGCGACTGTTAAAGGAGTGAAAGTTTTGAATCAGGCTCATCGTTTACCTAATCAGGGAAGGGGAGATATGTGACGGTGTTCAAACAAAGGGCAAATGGACTTAGTTTTTTTTTCTTTTACACAACACTTCATTGTGAGTAATTTGGAAGTTCAAAATTAACTTTAATGTTTTATGTTTATGGACAAACCATTTGAACTCAAGACACTGATTGGGAATTAAACGTTTACAGCGTGACTGAACAGTTCAGTGAATGCCCAAAGTCACTCAAATTTCCTGTCTAAACACCAATCTTCAGCTTAGAAGTTGATGATTTTGATAAAATTCCAAGGGAAAACTGTCATTAATGGCCTTGAGAAGAGTTCTTCGATGACACTAGATCGACCTCGCTTCCCTTTGGTCTATGCGGCAAACTAATTTCTTTAATTTCCAAAAAATTGGTTTAGTTTCAGTCTCCATAAGTATGCGTCTGTGGTGGACTCCTCGACCACGAGTTGTAGTCACTCCTGCTTCCCATAACTGAACCGTTCATTTCGTTTCCCAATACGAGCTGTTGTGCTGGCGTACGGAGTTTAATTTTCATCTCTGTTTAAGTCCAACCAATTGTTAGATATTGCAAATCCCCTATGACCAACTTGGCACTATTATGTCGGAGATGTCTCGATAAAATTATTGATGTGAAATATCAAGTACCGTAATTGATGACAGGAAAGCCCAGATACTTTTAACTTCAAAGCAGAGGTGCGAGCAAGCTCGGTTTGTATGCGTGAATAAAATTTCTTTTCTATGTGCGCTCAACTGATACAGTCTCCTTCGTGTTGTCCTTCAGACAACTCGCAATGGCCACTCCACGAATTTTCCAAAAATTATCTTACGGAAACTGCGTGAAATTGTGACATAAAATGGTTTGATACCTGACCGATGCAACCCACCGAAAAACGTCAAAGAAAGAGCCAATTTCAGGCTAGGAGTAGTTTGGTGTGGTCCTTTGAGATTTCTCCTACTTTTTTTTAAAAAAACCAAGCTCTGTCGCGCAAAAGAGGTAGCCTTATACGTCTACCAAATTACGGTCCTCTTGCAGATAAAGGGAGAAAACGCATTAATCTTATATTCTGCGCTTTGTCAATTGCATTACCACTGAGCTTTTTTCCTGGGGTCTCTCGGTGTTCAAAAACATGATTCTAAAATGTGGATAACTATTTTAGTCCTTCTTCTGAGGAGGGACAAAATGCAAGGACTAAAAATGGATAACCTCTCCTAAGCAAGTCACCGCGTCAAGGGAGGCTTGCATGATCCGAAAAAACAGCGATTTTTTGTGGAGAGTCATAACGTACTTCAGTAATACGGCATGGAGAGTGGACATCATTATATGCCGTTATTTAGAAGAATGTTTCATGCTCTGTCCATAATGCGATTCTAGTAAAATCAAGGTTGCCATAGAGACTGATACCCAGGATCACTTCTACAGCGAGTGATTCGCCTCTGATATCATATACTCTCAGTGATAATGTTATTGGACAGATAACACTAGTAAAGAATATTGATAGCTCCGGTTGTGACGTTGGCCGTCCGTTTTCTCAGCTCAGCAACTACACCATTGGCAAGAGAAGTAACATACATGACATGTGTCCCATTGAAAAACATAACAAGCTCCCTGTTTTTGATGCCTGAAAGTAGATCATGAAGGTTTTTCCATGAAATCAAATTTAACCGACCTAGACACGGTACATATTTGTGGTTAGAATCTCCCAGAAATTGGTCTATCGACGGTTTCCGTACTGAGGTTGGTTTTAAGTCTCCATAAAAACACATCCTCACCTAGAGTGGACATTCCTCTTCAAGCTTTTTGGACGGACCAGTTTGGTTTATTGTAAGACTGAATTAGCTGACAATGAACCATTTGGTCTCTTGAGAAATTCCATTACTAGCTCTGTGATCGAGAGCATCTTCAGAGAAGCTATACCCCTGCAGTTATCATCCATCATTGTTTCCGATTCCCTTACGCTCAAAAAATTCGCAAATGGATGCTAGAATAATATCAGTAGTCTAGAGTGATGTTAGTTAATCATCCTAAGCGCACGGAGCATGTAAAATGCAATTCCGGTTAAGGCCAGTCATTATAAAGTCAAATGGTGTACATTTGGTTTTGTTCCTCAGCGTCCAATAATTAAAAGGGTGTCTTGGATTTATCATGTGCCAGCAAAGCGGATGATCACCCGCGCCACAAAGACTAATCGGAATTAGCCTTGGAAGTGCATCTTTCAGGAATTTTCCAAGTTGGACCAACTGCCTTGTCCCAATATTCCTGGTTTGGTATATAGAGATTGTACTTATCAATTTTAGTTGTCCACAAAACCTGTACTCAAGTAAATTTCTCGCCATGAGGAAACAACACACAAGTATAGGGAAAAACAATGACAAGACACTAGTACATTCTTACTGAAACCATGATTTGTAAACAGAGCGGATTTTACTGAGATTTCTCCTTGCGGTCGAATGAATCATTTACGTGGAAGGCTAGAAATGCTCTGTCGCATCGCAAAAGCGCTGTCGGTTAGACAAATAGCTGATCTGTTGCCAAAAACAGTGACTTTAATGGCTTAGACACATTTATTCCGAGATGCGTCGGAGTTTGTAAATGCAAGAGTCAGCGCTTGTGAAACTAATTGAAAAACTTCCGCGCATTTAAAGCCGGTTAACCTCCCTCGTTTTGGAAGCACCATGCTACCAAAATTTTTGTTCATGTCTGGCGTCTCCTCTCTTGTGTCTTCACAGAGCCATATATCACTAGATAATCGAGGGTTCTCAGAATAAGGTCCACAATGAGAGACCCCCTCAGGATTACCAAAGATGACGTACAGATTCATAAATTTATATTCCTCTAGGTAGCTAGGCAGGCTGTTACTCACTAAAATGAACACCTCCCTGGGTACCTCTAAGGATTTATATCCGTTTGCTTACAAACCTGAATGAACAGCTGCTGCCCCCTCAACTCATCAGATTTTGAGAAGTCTGGATAACCCAAGGAAACACATTGGTGTTTGTTTTCCTAGGTTTTCAGTAGTTCAGTTGATTTACCTAATCCAAAATCTGTAAAGGACTGATGTGCTCTTCAATCACTTTTATGCGACTATTTCACTGGACCCAAGCAACATGTACGTATTGGTGGCAAAAGAACAAATATGATTGCAAGCGAATCACGATATGCCTAGGAATGTTGTTCTGAAACCTTTTCTTCTTACCTTTTATAACAATTCTTTACATCTGGACAACTCAAGCTAGGTGACAAAATTTGCTGACGGCTTCAACCGGGACGAGGCCTGTTCTTTAGCCGCAGATTCTAAGCTGTTCCAGCAGGGAATAATTGTTAATCTCAAAGCACTTCTCACAATCTAAATTCAGGCAATCTCCTCGAGACTTTGTTTACACTCCGAAGCGGTCAGCATCTGAATGAGTTGCGACCACTACGTTCTCAAACCATTGTCGACGGTTGTCGCTTAGCTCAAGTAAGATGTAATAGACGACTCAAGGTTAACTCATCCTCCATTCTGTCCTGGTGTGACGATGCAGATATCCTATTCCTGAAGGTTAGACTGCAAAAAGTTTTAACAGATGGCTGTGTGCTCCACTTGTCTGCATTTCTTTAAGCGAAACCTTCGTTAATGCCACGTCCCTGTCTATGATACTCTGTTGGCCACCCGAGGTTTTTGTGAACTGTTGGAATTTGATGTCGTTGTGGAGAAGAATTCTGCCCTTTTGCGGCAAGCCATCACCCATTTTCTCTAATTAGACCTTGATGAATCGGTATATCAAAGCTTTCCAGAATTTTGTCGCAATATTTTACGATCTCTTCCACTTCCTACAAAGCTGTCTAACACATCATCTACTAAGGATTATTGACGTCCGCTCCCTTCTTCTTAGAAGGTTGTATTCCCGTTTTATGAGTGTGAAATTTTAAAGATTTCACCTCTGAGAACCGAGTTGGCTTGCATTCTCCGGTGCATTCGTCCCGGTTGTGTTTGGGTAGTTTTTTCCCTACCTATTTACTACTTGTGTACATGCGTGAACACTTGTACTCAATATTTAAAAGATCGTAAGAACCCAGCAACCAGTAAAGGGAACTTTCATTCCATTTGTAGAAACAAGGGTATGACCAAAGAATGTTACCTTACTCTCATTTAAATCAACATCACTCAACTAAGACAATAAAAATGTTTTCACGGGCGTTCTCTAAAGGTTTTCCGTGCCAATCTGTAGCCATGATGAATAGAAAATCTTCTGTACTGACGAAACCAGCATCATACGGAAATATCAGACACGTTATACATGAAGTTATTATATCAAGCCCCCTTTAAATAACAGAAATAATAGCAAAAGAAGTGGAGGTCATCGTAAAATAACTTAGAACGGTGTTTTCCCTGAAACGTTTGAGTGGCTCAGCTTTATCCCCACAAGAATGACATTCAGTGACTTTGGAAGTATTATATGGTTAGTTAGATGGGGGTGGAAAATGGGATTAAGTACTGTATGAAAATGTCTGTCACCATTGTGGTCGCGGCTTTGTTTCTTATTTGGCGTAAAATGTCCCCCCGATTGGCACAGGTACCCCAAGACAGTTAGATCATTTCGAATTTTGCGTTCATTTTAAACCCGGAAATTTGATTCATCATGCACTTTGGTCGGGCTTAAAAGACATGAATTCTGGTGCACGATGGGCAAAAAAATTCGGACGTTGCGTTTGGTTTCGAGTTTGTCAATCAGTTTGTGTCGCACGTTTATTGCAAAATTGCTGGACTCGAAGTAGCAGGTGAGTCTCCATTTAGTGTAAAAATGTACACGGTACTGACATAAATCCAAAGCGGTACAGTTCGAATATATGGTATTGTCGCATCCTAGGTCAGGTTCAGCCATCTTGGAGGAACTGAAGTTAACAAGCTTATCTGCAACAAACTTGAGAAACGTTCGTTACTATGACCACTTCCCAAACCCGACC